AGATGTTTGAAAAAGGCATAAAAATACTTCACTGAAATCTCAGCAGCTCTGAAGGCTGAAGCAGGAAGTTCACAAGTTCAAAGCCAGTCTCAGCAACTCAGTGAGACCCCYGTCTCTAAATAAAATATGAAAAAGGGCTGGGGATGTGGCTCAGTGGATAAGTGTCCCTGGGTTCAATCCCAGGTACCAGGAAAAAAACCAACAGTTCATTGAACTTTTCCCCTCCCCATAACAAGGCCAAGACACTGTTCTGAGAATAAATCTTATTAAGAAAACTGGCTAGTAAGACATTAATGTATCTGATAATTATACTATTCAATACTGATGTAAGATCATTGCTATGGCAGCAAGACCAAATCAAGACAAAATTTCCAGTTAGAGAATAAAAACAGTTTAATTTTGTCAATTTCAAAACACTGATTTGTTTTGGCAAGGGGAATCAAGTACTTGTGAAAGAAAAGCCACACAGTAACAATGACAAAGTAGTACAGTAGTTTAGATAAACCTATCTTTAGTAATAAGCAAACCTTGTGTGAACATCAAGATTCCCCTTAACTTCTTTTAAACATTACTAACATGTTGTTGAAAGTGAAGTTGTACAAAGTTTATGTTTGTTTTCTCCAAAGAGATTCTCCTGGGTAACGAGTCTTCCTCATTTTTCATCCCCTGGGACTAGATTATCATGCCCAACACTGATTAAGCATTAAGCCCCAGTTAAGTATTGATTAGATTATTATCCTCTACAACTGGGGTTCTTAATTCAGAATAAGAGGGGTTTCAGCATTACCCAGAAATCATTTCAAAATTGTCTGTTTTCAGACAAAATGATTCAGTTAAGCTCAAAACTCTATGTAGCTATTTTTTAAAAACTGAGCATTCTGAAATTAAAATCCAACTGTTAAAATCCACACGTACAACAACAATATACGGTCGGATTTGTATACACTAATAGAAGCTGCTATTTTAAAACTAGTACAAAAGTCAATCTAGGATTTAAGAATTTGAACATTTAGTTTCTTCAACAGAAAGAAATCATTATAGCAAAATGCTTTTGAAAATCCTCAAGAGTTTTATCTTGGATAACAAGTTGCACCTGAACTTAGAACTGACATACAGTTTTTCCCAATGCTAGCAAGAGTATTCAACTTTACATCTATGTGATTAACAAAAACTAGAATTAGTAGCAGATGAGCCACAAGAATGAAAGAGGATAGTATCAGCCACCATTTTTCAAATTAAACAATGAGGAGGTTATTATATGATCACATCACTCAGTTAAGCACCTATCCTGCATAGTAAGCCAGCTGTAAAACCATCTTAGGACCATATAAAAGAAACATTCTCAAGACTCAAGTGTATCCAGCTTATAGACTGGTTGAGGACAGAAAGTGTATTTTGCTCACTTTAAGATGTCTCTAACACTTAACTGGCACGTGGAAGTTTCTAGCACTTAAAAAATTAAACTCATTCCTTTCATATATTCTTTTTGTTTGTTTGTTTTGGGGGCGGCGGGAATTTTTAATTTTTTTTTTAGTTTTTGGCGGACACAACATCTTTGTTTGTATGTGGTGCTGAGGATCGAACCCGGGCCACACACATGCCAGGAGAGCACACTACCACTTGAGCCACATCCCCAGCCCCATATATTCTTAATACACCAATCAGTTATAACTAGTTATAGTAGTGAAATCCCCATTTTTTAAATATCAAGTGGATAAGAGAAGCTTACTTCAGGTGGAAATCTGATTTGAACCTTAGTTACTAGCTATGGGACTAGATAAGTAACTTAACCTGTTCTCTGTGCCCGTTAACCTCATTCATAAAATGGAGCTAATACTCCAAAAGTTAGAAAATGTTCAATATATAGTAAAGGCTTTTTATCAGTAGCAGGTATATGCAAAGTAAACCTTTTAAAATGACAAAACCCAATAGATCATTTACAAGTGCAGTGGTTAAGAGAACACTAGGGAACCAAATGACCTGGGTTTTGATCCCAACTCTGCCACATATGAAATTAGGCGTTTTCCCCTCTTAGCGTCTGTGCCCCCGTTTTCTGATTTCAAAATAGAGATACAAGTGCACTACTTCCTTGTTTTAAATTAGTTAATACAAGTTTTGTTTCAAATAGTTATACTGTAAATTATGAAAACATGAGTTTTCTTTTAGGTTTGGTTCATGTTCGATTTTGGGTAAAATTTACAAATATCCTCAAAACATATATACTGCAGTTATTTTGTTTAATGGGAGTGGTACAATTACCTATGGCCCCAAACACCAATCATTTTGGAGTTCCCACTTTTTTGATTTTCGTTGCCTAATAGACCTACTTACGACCATAATACAGGTTGGTACAGGTAAAAATTATAAAAAAGACAAAGGGTAAGATTATTTGATTGGTCTAAGAATRGCCATACTAAAAAAATCATACTGAAGGAAAAAAAAATTGTTCTATGACTTGATCAAACAAATTATTGAAGGTTCAAAGTATTCCAATAATATATTCGTGAAGAATATAAACATATCTCAATATCTGTCTTGGGGCACTTCAGACACAAATAAATTCAAAGTAGGTGAAAGCACAACAAATCATACTGATACCAATGGTTAACTTGATTCCTTAAGAGGAAGGTTAAAAGAAAAAGAAACCCCTTCAGAATTGTCCCCTCAATAAAACTTTTTGGACCTGGGAATATTTTTTAAAAGCTTCACATGTGGTATATCAAACCACAAACAAGTTAAAACTTTCTACAGGTTGGATCAACCATGTCCCAGAAACACTGGTTCTCCAATTTGGAAAGTGTTTTATGTCAAGATTCAGTCTTATATAATTCTTTATAAATAGTCTGAACAAGAGATAAGCTGGTATTAATTGCTAGACTAGAAATCATAGTTAAAAAACAAARCCAAACCTGTTTATGTGAATTATACACTGATATTAAAAAGCAGTAGTATTCTTTTGTAACTATTAAGAGTGACATGCCAGAGGCCTGTTCAAAGCCACACAGTAACCCATGTGTCCTCAAAAATACCTAGACACTTAAGATTTCTTTTTACTGCTGGCATCCCAGTGTCTAGAACAGTGCCTAGAAATCTATTAGGCACACAAGAATTTATTGTTAATATATAACAAATACCCATCTAATAAAGACACATGGATAAATCTGCTTGGAGCTACAATTCTAATTGAAGCATTTCTCCTCAATGGTCACTCTCTACCATTATGTTACTGCCTCTCTAGAGTTTTTAAATCATTAAAGTAGTGCCACAGCAGCTGGGTATCACCTGTAAAAGAAAAAAAATCAATGAGACCTTCCTTCAAAGTGTTTTATTCCACACGGATAAATGTGAGATTATTCTCCACTGTAGTGGCCTGAACTAATTCCAGACAAAAAATTTTGATTTGTACTGAATATTATGTTCTCAAGTATGCTGTAAAATAAAACTAGGATCCTATGTGAGTTTGCCCTCTGATCACATAAAGGTTATTATTTAAAAATAATCTTTAAAAGTTTTAAATCCTAAAAAGGTCTTCTTCCTTTCCTTTGCTATCATTTCAAAAAACACAGGTATTCTACATCAACCCATAGTGACAATACCATTTCAGCATTAGTTATCTTAAGAGTTAAGATGTCAACTTTCATCAAACAGCAGTTTTGCCAATCAAACTCCAAAGTTATATTTAGTAAATGCAAATTAAGCAGCACTGAGCCTGTTTTGGTAAAGTCAAATCCTTGCCATTCCTTCTGTAGAATTCTCTTTATAAAAGTATCCTATCAAAACCAAAGTTTTATCCTAAAACCTCCCCTTATGTCCTATCTTCTAGTAAGGCTGAATTTATTCCATGACATTTTTTTCAAGTTAGCTGTAAATACTCCACCCTCCTTGATTGTGCAAGAACCAAATACAGCACACATACACAAGTTACACAAAAGGTAAACACAGTCTGAGAGTATGAATTTAAGTAAATTTCGAGCAGTGGGTCTCAGAGCAGGGTCCAATCCGATATAAAACTTAACACTTAACAAAGAATATTATTTCATATTATTACGAAAGGAGATGCCGGAAAGGGCCTGAACCAGTTAAAGCAGCCGCCATCTTAAAATGCGGGACAGAAGTTAGAGCAAGAAAATGAGACTAAACCACCGGAGGTGGAGGTTCCGCTCACCCCCAGAGCTTTGAGAAATCCTAGCCTTTTCTCAACTTAGATCAATAATTTACTATCAAACCACATTTCAAGCAGCGAAACAATCCTTCTTATGGCTGTTATTAAATGGGCAGAGGCAAAAAAATAGGTACACCTAGTTTCCCTTTACTGCCATCCCCCCTTCCAAGCCAAAAGAAAAAAGGAGCTTCCAGAGGCTTTTACATCAGTTCCCGGTGCCTCGGAAAATTAAATTCGGGTGCAAGCTGCAACTACAAAACATAGGAAGTGGCAACACTGTGTCAGTCCACCTCCTCCCAACCCTACTCATTCTTGTGTAACCTTCCCTGAGTCAACCAAGTTTCATTCACTTCAGCAGGCCAGAGTTCCACCCTGACCCTCAGTAAAGTTCGGGACTCACAGCTCTCCTCATTTCTTAGTTTACTACCTTTTCTTTTCCCCTCGAGAAAGCCTAGAGCCTTTATCTAGAACTAAAAAATTTTTTGAAGAACCAAGAATACGAAGCATCGTGACATCTGCTGGAACGTCTCTCTGCAATTCCAACACCATAATCGGACTCTGAGTAGAAAATCGAAGCGCCTCAAGTCTCTTTTTCTCGCTCACAATCAGCACCGATTCCATGAGACATAGAATAACACCTCGCTTGCCACAAGTGTTCTGTTCCCCAGTCTCAAACCTCATTTCATAAAGCATATCTTCGTTTTCCACCTCCCAATGAAAGAAGTAACCCCAAGAGGTATTTTCAGAGTTATACGTCCCTTCCACCCCCACGATTTCCTCCGGGCCCAGGTCTTCCTTTCCTCCCACGACCCCATTCCTTTCAGTCCCAACAATATACCTTATTAATCCGTTTCAGCGCCATAGTCTGTGCTTTTCGTCTGGCTCCTCACTATCTCGGTGTGTGCTCAAAGGTCCGGYCAAAACTCTTGATTATCCGGGCGGCGGGGAAGGATTGTCTCTTCGTCTCACACCGGCTGTGCCAGACACAGGCGCCTTTTTGCAAAAACGGAGCAGATCAGCACTTGCACTGGCCCCGGAGAGACCCTGAAGATTCCAGGTCCCTTAAAACGGTCGCGATCCGGGGTGGGTGGGGTGGCAAAGCCACCAACAGCCTCTATGCCGTGCTTCGGACCGAAGTGGGGGCGAGGGTGACGGGAAGAACGGAGGGGTGGCTACAAGTTTAACTTCCCAGTCTCTCCAAAGGAAGAGACCCGGGTGGGAGAGGAGGAAGCGTAGGAGAAAGGGGTGGGTGCGGGGCAGGGTCCGGAGCCCAGCAGAGGAGGAGCCGGGGCCTAGTCGGCGCTATGCCGGCGTCACTAGGGCAAAGAAAGGCAAGGGGGGAGGGGGAAACAGGAGTCTCCGGACTGACGCCGGGCTTCTTTCGGTTTCGGCTCSAAGGTTTGGCCGGGGTAGAAAAGGAAATGAAGGAATAGACTTAATGTGTGTTCCTCTCCCCGAAGCTATAGCTTTTCAGTGTCGCCCCTGACGCCACCGTACACTCCGCCTTCCAGCGCGCTCTCGCGCGCGCCCGCCTAGCCACCACCACCGCCACGCGCCCGTGCTGCCCCTGAAGCTCCGGCTTAGGCGCGAGGACGCGCCCATTCCCCCTCCCCTTTAAGCAGAAGAGGCCCGGGTTTCTCCAGCCTCCCCGCCCTACCCCACCCAACCCAACAGGCTGGCTACTCAAGCCACCCAGGGCCCGTATTTCCCCTCTTACCAGGCCGGCCAGTGGGCCGGCCTCCCTTCCCTKCCCCTAGCTGTCCACACCCACGCGTACAGAGGGGCCGGGGCCTCCCTCAAGCTGCGGCCTCGGCCTCCTCCCCGCGCGGCAGCTGGTGCCTCCCCGGCCCTACGGGGCTCACGCGCACGACACAGCCACAAGATGTCCGCTCTGACGGAACTACTGCCAGCTGCCACGCTCCGCCCCTCCCCCCTCCTCCTGCCTCTTCACCGCCGCGTATCAGTCCGCCAACGCCGCCGTCGCGAGCACAGGATGAATCTAAGGGTGAAGGGGAACGGTTTACTTCCCACGTCCAGGGCCGAGCGAATCTGTGCCACCCCCTTTCCTTGTCCTTTTCGGAACAGCCCCTTCTTACTAAACGGATCTGAGGTTGGACTGGGAGGGCGGGGGACGGAGGCGGGTCATGGGCTGAGGGAGGGCGGGGGGAGACGAGTGGCGGAAACAGACTCAGAGAAGCATCGAGAACCGGAAGGAGACCATGGGAGGAAGGTAATGAAAGCAGCAGCTGCGCGGTGGAGCCCCACGCCCCTCCCAACCTCKTCCCCTAGTTTCCTCACTTGGTATTGAGGAGGCGGGTCTCGCGAGAACCTCGTGGCCGGCTAACCGGAGCTGCAGCTCTGCAATGACTTAAGGGCAGTTTTGTGCGCTCTTCCTGACTGGGTCCCGCCCCCAAATCACAAATTATCGCGAGATGCCCTGGGACGCCGGCTCGAACAGGGACAGGTCGCTGCCGGGGAAGCACCGCCCCTGAATGCTTATGCTGGTGGGAGGGAGAGGAAATGGAATTCCCCCGACTGATCTGAGCGCGCGCCGACACATCCCTCGCTCACGCGCCCAATCAGGAATGTGCGGTGGGAGGTACCAGGGATTAACTAGTAGATACCTTTAGTCAAGGTTGAGCAGTTTCTGAGGTTTCCGGTGGAACAGGTGAATGGTATTTACTCGCCCTGCTCTCGTGGGCTGGCTACCCAGCGAGAGGAGGCGCCTAGCAAAATAGAAACTGTAATTTAAAATAGACCCAGGCCGACAGCTGATAGCTTTCCCCGGTGCCGAAATTAGTGCATTTCTAACCCCAGGGGCTCAATACTGAGAAGAGCAGGCCAGCTCGAATCCCAGAGTTACAGCAGCTTCGAAATCCTAATTATGAATTGAGTAGAGAGGGGWGGGTTAGGGGCGGGCCATTTCTACAGTCCATCGCCACCACACGGCAAGGTTTAGATGTGGGAACAGGCTCAAATACCCCCCCCCCCTTCCCTTGCCATGTTTCAGTTTTTGAGCCAGAAAGTGGTGAAGCTCCAAGAAATAAGGTAGCGTTTTGGGTTAGAAAAATTTAATACTTAACTGAAATATCKGCGAAAGGCGGGGGTGTGCAGATAGCAGTGGCCTATTCTGCTGGGTGTAAGGTACGAGTATTTTTGCTTTTCAGTGTATCTTTCGGGCAAAAAGTAGTAGGACCTTAAACTTTTTATCTGGGGATATAATTTAGGTGTAGAGCACTTGCTTAGCGAGTTAGGAATCTCTGAATTTAAGCCCCAGAACCCTCCAAAATTATATATATAAATAAATAAAAGTTGGCTGCTTGAAGCTTTTTAACTCTTCAATGATCCCACTTACAAAAGGATTACATAGAAAAATACACCTGTTTTTAAAATATACTTGATTTAGAAAAACTATTGCAGAAAGTAATAAAAATTTCACAGGTTAGTGATAAATGGTCTAATATACTGTTCAAGTGAACATATAGTGAACTAGAGCAATTAAAGAGTGTTTCTCAAACTAATGTCAATAGAAGTCACCTGGAGTTTTGTTCAAAATGCGGATTTGGATTTAGTAGTAGGGGCTGGAGCCTGAGATTATGCATCTTAAACAAACTCCCAGGTGATGCGGATTCCTTCCCCACCCCCTTACCCGGATTTGAACCATTCTGTAAGTGCCCCAGTCATGGCCTACTGGATACCTCTGTCCCTTTCCTCTGTTCCTTCTTGAGTAATCTTTATTGTTCTCTCCTCTAGCTAGCCAGTTCACGAGGTTAGGCATGAGGGTGGAGGGAGAAACTTAGGTTCTAAGTTCTTGCTGGTTGCTTCCGTATGTGTGATATAGGTCTGGTTACTAATCTTCTATTTCTTCACTGCTAAACKAGATGTAATAATAACTATCCTTTCACGTGGAATTATTGTGTGGTTCAGATGTCATAAAGTTGTGAAAGGACCCTGAAGACTTCACAGTGTTGTATACATGTTAAGTTATTAAAGTAAACATTCAGGTATTAACTGGCCATTTTGTGAAATAAATGTATAATAGTAATAATAGGTATGGGTAAAATTTATGCAACTTTTACCAGGTATTGTGTTTATTAGCTCCCCTTTACAAATGAAGAAACTGAAGCACAGATTAGGTTTCTATCCTAAGTGATAGGAGGAGAATTTGAATTCATATGCTTAATTTAAGAATATTTATTTCATAGAGTAACATGTTTTATATTTCTACTTTAAATGTCATCTGAATCTAAYTTATTTCTCCTATTTCATTTTTTTAGAAGCCAGGGTACAAGAATAGTAGGAAACATTCCCATTTACCTAAGGGGAAGTCATAATATCCAGGGAGGTCCAAGAAGAAAAGCCCCAGAGAAACCAATTTGAGTTACCTTAATCTAAACAAGCTTCAGTATAAAGGTTTGATGGAACATTACTGCTGTGGATTAACAGAGCACAATAGACTGGAAAAATTTGAGGTCAGAGTTCTTAACTTTTTTGTGCCTCAAACCACTTTGACAATCTGATAAAACCACCTACCATTTTCAGAATAATGTTTTATACATGTATAAAATGAAATTCATTGTATTATATATAAAGACAAACATGTGAAATACAGTTATCAAAAAATTAAGGAAAAACAAACTTGTGAACATGTGCTTTATTTAAAGTAAACATATGCTTTATTAACAGTAAGGAAGATCTAGTGGGGGGGTCTGATGAAGACCAAAGTTTTGAAATAATAATGAACTTAAATGACATTTCCAGAGTTTGCAAGAATTGTAATGTAATATAAAGTATCTGAACTATCTATTGGTAATACAAAAGTAGGTACAGCTAATATTATTGTTGAAGGAATACAAAATTTTTAGGCATAAGTAAAAGTGTAATTTTTTTCCCACCCAAGCTCACACATGCCCTCATTCCCTCATTTTTATCCATGAACTGCATGTTTAAAAAGCTTAGGTTAAGTCTTGAAATCAGATTTGTGAAATTTTAACGTACAATTCTAACTGATATTCCTAACTATAGTGATTCATCAGGAAAAGTTTAATTACAACCAGTATACTTTAAGAAGGTATTGAAGTGTGTGATATATTGAGGCAACAGTTTTATCGCATTTGTTGATTTTTCCCTCTATTTTGGGGTAACTATGAAGGTACTCTATGGAAAATTGAAGTATTCAGAATGATTCATTTTCCAAGCATTCTGGTTGTTTTAGGTTTTATTATATTCACATTCATTAATTACATGCCTTTGTAGATAAGGTGTGAAAGAATTACAAAATGAAAATCAAGGATGAAAGAAATTCAGATACTGTATGTTTAAGTTTTTAAATAGGTTTTAACAATTGTTGAAGTACTTATTATGTGCTGGCTCATTTAATTCATTGTCTCATCATCCCTGATATACAGATGAAAACTCAGGGCTATACAACTAGTAAAGAGCAGAGCTAGATTTTAAACTGAAGTAGTCAGACCTTAAAGCCTACACTCTTAAGCCCTAAGCTGTTTGTTTTTAGCTCTTCAGTTATTAGTCAATATTAAATTTCCCTTTAGTGCAAAACATACCTGCTTGCTACCTCAAATTGTTAATGTTCTTACTATTGCAGGTAAAATTCTCCCGGTGACTAAAAGGGATTTTCCAAAACCTACTTTTTTAATATTAATTATATCCAATTCTTCCATTAAATAAGTAGAATACTAGTTAGGGCTGGAAAATAGATTTTGTTCTACAGAAATTTTTATTGTAATGGAGTTTTGCTAAAACGATGAAATCTGCTGGGCCTGGTGGTGCACACCTGCAATCCCAGCGGCTTGGAAGGCTGAGGCAGGAGGATCATGAGTTCAAAGCCAGCTTCAGCAACTTCATGAGGCCCTAAGCAACTCAGCAAAGACCCTGTCTTTAAATAAAATACAAAAGAGGGCTGGGGATATGCCTCAGTGGTTAAGAGCCTCCTGGGTTCAATCCCCAGTAAAAAAAAAAAACAAAAAACAAACAAACAAAAAAACACATCAAATCTGCCCATGCCTTTTCCTGTTCTCCAAACGTACTTTCACATTTGCAATCTAAACTTTTATGTTTTGCATAACATACATATGTGATGCTGTTGTAAAATGTGTATATACATCTGAAGTAACATTGTGTGTGTGTGTATATTTTCCCCCAGTACTGATTATTAAACCCAGGGCCTTACAAATGCTTGAAAAGCATTTTACCACTGAACTACATCTCCACCGTTTTTTTTTTTAATATTTTTAGTCATACATGGACACAATATTTTTATTTTTTTATTCATTTTTATGTGGTGCTGAGGATTGAACCCAGTGCCTCACATGTGCAAGACAAGCGCTCTGCCACGGAGCCACAACCCCAGCCTATCCACCCTTTTTAATTTTGACACAGTCTCACCAAGTTGCCCAGGCTGAATTTGAATCTGCCTCAGCTTCCTGAGTTGCTGGGATTACAGGCATGTGCAACTGAATGCTGCTTCCCAGCAGCTTTTTGATGGCTTATGATAGAGCAGGCTATGATTAGCTTAAATTTTTAAATAGTTCACATATCTAGTGATGTAGATAACCCACTTTACAGTTGCAAATAAAAATATTTTCATTATTTGATTTATTTGAATTATAAGGGTAGAAATGGGTCTATCTGAAAAAAAAAGAGTCATGTTTTTATCTTGAAATCTGGAATATGCTAAAAGTTTCTGTTTTAAATACTGAAAGAAACATTTATATTCAGAAATCTGTGAAGTTAAAAAGTATTGAAAAGACAAAAGCAGTCCTCTCTAAGAATGTTAAATTGAAGTCTGATAAACTTTCTAATTATAATAGATCAGATTTTTCTTGCATGAGTTGACATAAAATATGAGAAAAATATAAAAGATAAAATTACCCCCATGAACTTGGCAAATAATAAT